AAATCTTTGTATGAACCCGCACTGAGGATAGTGTTGAATAAACCTCCATCAGTATTTGATGATAAACAGAGGCATCGTGAAAACAAGGCAGATCATTTGAAATGAGTACAAGGTTGCTTGTTTAGATTTGGTGATTTAAGTGTTCTGAACGTTGACTGGACTAGCAGTAGTGCGACGCTCGTCTCACATGTGAGATATCCGAGGAGGCTATACCGGAGCGGATGACAACCTGTACTGATCATGAGAACCGATAGAAAAGTACGTGGATTACGCTGCTCCAACCTGCTGGGCGGAACGTCACATCAGTCAAAATAGCACAGGATGAGGACTGTGAAAGCGACGGTAATTCGTTTTCCGTCCAAGAATATTAGTTTGAGCGTTGCTGCATATGCGAAATATTGACTTGTGAATACGTGTTGGTTGCTTTCGAATGCACATCATTCCTTTGAAGAGCATGCCATTGGAGATTTGATAATAATCTGGCTAATGCTCTCACCACCAACTAAATTCGAATATATTGCGTTGTGCAATCAAGTGAAATGGAGGAACACTCCTTCGACTGAGTTTGAAAATGCTTCTTCGGTCGGTGTGGAACGCTCAGTTTGAAGGGAAAATTATCGACGATACTTTTGAAATATCTGTACACAGCGGATGGGTTCGTAATATTCTTGCTTAAGAGGAATCCCCAAACAATAACATCTTTTCACCAAGTTGCTGTCCCATCGGGTGTACTTTGCGATATGACACGGTTGTAAACCTGAGATTGCCAGTGTTTTGTTTGGGGAATGTCCTCCTTTAGTGCCTGGCGATAAGGCAATTATAAACTAGGGAATTATATTTATGGCCATTAAAGTACGAAGAATGGGAAAGTAGCGTACATCGATGAATGATTGTAATCCCTTCCCCATGTGAGTACAGCTCGATTCTGTCGAAGGTTCTCAGGAATCTGGATTTAAGAAAACACTGCGTTAATTTTAGCTTGAAATATGATGATAACGAAGGCAGATTTATCAGGTGGCTGGTTGTCCTAATGGTTCAATTAAATCTTACACCCTGGAAATAACTTCTACCGAAAAGTTAAATTTTTGAGCTGTTTGAAAAAGATGCCTAGGATTGCATCCAGTCCATCAGGTCAGTTCATGCGTTGACTCCATTGTTAATGAACTAACAAGCTACTATCTCGAAAACGTTCGGCCCAGCACTACACTTTCTACCCAA